ATAAATCAAAACTAACCCGAATACAATGAAAGTAAAGAGGACGAAATGTAAAGTGAGCAGCAGAAGGGTGAGTGAAATTACTATACCTATAGAAAATTACGAAACCGAACAAAGCACACATTATTGCGTAACGGCGGTGGGTCCATATATACAGTACTGATGTCAGCAACCGCGTCAACACATATATGTGTCAACACATATATGTGTTGTCCACTTTACTCATATGCTTTTCCTGCATTCATATCACTGACTGTGGTATAATACCTTACACAGATTACAGTACAGTTCCCAGCAGATGACTTTCAAACACTACCTATATGCGTATGCAGTGATGTTTGCAAAAATGCGGGTACGGTTCAGTGCCCAAAGATATATAATTGACAGTTTCTTAATAGATGGAACTCTCTGTGCTGAACGGGAAGCCGTGCAGATTATTCACATGTGCTTGTTTAAGAATAGCTGACGAATCTTTGAATGAGCAGATTCTTCGAAAAATAATTTTTAACCGGCGCATAAAGGGTGAGATGGCTTTGTGAATTCGATGTGAACGTTTGCACAATATCTTTGTTACCGTTCATACGCTCTGTGCTTATTGTTAACGATGATAAGACACACACTGAGCGTCCCGAGCATATGTGATTGTCATCGTACAGAGCAATTGCGAGAATCCGCGCAAGACGGTGTGCCAAATATGTGACGGATCACCTGATTATGTATTTCTTCAAATCCTGTGTACTTGAATTGACGCGGTGAATCTGAACGTACCCTACGCTTGTTTATTGGAGCATGAAAGAGGAATTCAGGTTCAGAAAATGTTTCAGAGGTATTCCACGCTGAGATGATATCTGTGTGTGCGAGTTTCGCGCGTTTGAAGCGATGAGCGGTTCGAAAAATTTGGAGAGTGCCTCGCCAGGAAACGATATTGCGTCGCACCGTCATTTAAGCGAGCCAGCTGGTCATCGTAGAAATCGACGTCGTCGTAGGACGGAAGGCGAAGGGTGTACGTTACACCTCAACGTCGAATGGGATCCTGTGGAAAAAGCGCTTCGTCGTCGCGTTCTTCGTCCGTTCATTAAACCTTGTGATATACTTGTTACCGACTTGACGGACTTTCCAGTAAGAATAATGAATGCATCATGAACATGAACGCGGACGAACTAAATTTTTCGTATTTTATTCGTCTAGACACAATTGAATCGAGCAGTTGAGGCGCTTTCTGCACACGTACCGGAGCTGAATGTGTTCGGAATCGGCTTAGGGATTAGTCGAGCAATTAACTTGAGTCTACAAGTTGCGGATCTTTTCAAGACTCAGTACACTGTATTCTTGCGTACAGTTCCATTGGACCTTGGCAAAGGTATCATTCTGACGTTCGAGCTTTTGCAAATGTGACTGTACTCCCGTGCTTCTCAGCAGCTGAAGAATTCACGGTGGACGTGCATTCTGATCTCCGTCGATCCAATTCCTCGCTTCGGATAAGATTTCGTTTGCAGAAGAAGTCGCAACCCGAGACGATAACATGTTCTTAACTTTGAGCGAGTTGGTGAACTGGATGGGAGTGACTGTTTGCGAGATTTGGATCCATCTATGCTCACTTCTAGCTTTTACGGTTCTGATCGTCGTGCGAATAGAGCTCTTACCGCTTTCTTGGTGGACGACTTTCAGTCCTCTTTTCGTGGGTGATGCAATGAATGCGTACTTGAATATGATCGTTTTTATACGTCAAGTGCTCGACCGTGAACTCAAATCGGCTGCGATTAGGGCCGCCTGGAGTTATTCTAATCTATTATTAGTATTTCTCTCCGAATTTTTGCTGTGCGAAAAGCTGCAAGGAGAAAATTCTGTGGAATTTTCGGAAGTGATGGCCCCGGTTTTCGTTCTTATGCAATTTCTTATGATACGTGCTTGTCAACTGCATTGATGGCTGCTGGAAAGCGGTATTTTGTCATAATTTTCGTGTTTCAATAAAATTTTCAGATACCTTTGATTTTATGTCTGCGCACGTATAATAAAAATCATAATCTTTCTTAGGTTATGTTTCGTGCTAAGTAGAGATTGGTGTACCCGAGTTGTGCATGAAAGGTGGTGTATTTCGGGTGGTTTGACAAGTGTCTGGCTATAATTCGTGCAATGGCTGGTAGGAAGAAACGTCCTGGCCTGAAGGTTGACATTCCGAAATCACCATCTCCTTCGCCCTTGTGAGTCCACCTGCTTCCTTACCGCGGTACTAATTTAACAGTGTTTTTTTTTCGATCTTTCAGGCAAGCTCCGAGACAATTGGACAAACGTACGACGATTACGCTCGGCGACAGAACGTTCGACTGCGATTCAGATGATTTGATTCTCATGGAAGTTCTTGGACGAGGAGCTTATGGAGTCGTGGAAAAGATGAAGCACGTTCTTTCGGGAAACGTGATGGCAGTGAAGGTACGGTGGCAGAAGGGAAACACCTACACAGAATTTCAATTTTCCGATTGTTCTCATAGGCCGATCTTTTGAATCTGTCAAAGCTCATATTGTTTCTCCAAATTTACGCATACAGTATTCGAATTTAATTTTGGGAATGGGCTGAAGTAAATCCCATCTTACGACAAGAATCTTTGAACGGTAGTGAATACCGTATTTTAAGAATCAGAATTTTAAAGAAAGCACGTTTATCGCAGTATACAGGGCATTCTGATGGAAAGTTTTTGTTCAAAGTACTTTACCTCAATCCAAAACTGTGCAATGTTTGAAAATAAGAACGGAACAGTTTTGGAAAAGGAAAATGATTTGATTCAGTTAAGTAATTTTTTCATGTATTCCGCCTTTCGACACGATCGATGAAAGGATAATCCGTCTTTTTTATTATGCAGCGGATCCCTGTTACTGTGAATGACCGGGAAACAAAAAGACTTCTCATGGACTTGGATATATCAATGCGTGCCTCAGAATGTCCTTATACAGTACAGTTCTATGGAGCCTTGTTTCGAGAAGGCGATGTCTGGATATGCATGGAAGTTATGGATACCTCATTGGATAAATTTTATCAGCGTGTGTACGAGAAGGGTAGCCGGATACCCGAAGATATCCTCGGCAAAATCGCCCATGCTGTGAGTATTCAGCTGTCGTTGAAAAATTGAGGCCTATTTTAATTTCAATTTAATATGATTAGGTTGTGTCGGCGCTAGAGTACCTCCACACAGTGTTGAAGGTGATCCATCGTGATGTGAAGCCGTCGAATATTTTGATCAACAGAAAAGGACAGGTTAAAATTTGTGACTTCGGCATTTCTGGTTACCTTGTGGATTCAGTTGCGAAAACAATAGATGCTGGATGCAAACCTTATATGGCGGTAAGTTCTTCCGTTATCCTACAGGAGCTTATCTTCGGCTTTTTTTTTTTTTTTTTTTTTTTTTTTTTTTTTTTTTTTTTTTTTTTTTTNTTCTCTTTGTTTAACAACCAGTTTTCTTTTTTTTTTTTTTTTTTTTTTTTTTGGTGGCATGCTCTTTGTTCAAGTCTGGGCCTTGCTGGGAACGATGATTCCCCCACACGGTGGAATTATTTTTACCATAAAGCTTTTCCTCGAATAAATAATATAAAATTTTGATTTTATGAAGTAAATGTCTCGTAAATGAGACAAATTTTGATTTTCCCTTCGTAATTGAAACTATTTTGCGTAGAAATCTGAAACCATTGTTCTTGAGACATTTTCATACGGTGAATAAAAATCACGCAAATTTCTTGGAAGAAAATCTGGCAGAAGAAACACTGCATCGGTTTGATAAAATAAAATAATCTTTGTTGAACTTGCTGAAAATAGTCCATTATGCCCTTTGAAAGGACATAAAGAACTTAATTTCATCTGCGAGTGTTTTAGTGAAAGGGTGTTGCGAAGTTATAGATTATTTGGCAAGAGATAGGAAAGTAATCTCAAGGGAAGCGCAGTACATCACTATTTTTTCTAGATAGCAGCCATAGTACTGTTTCAGAACGGAGATGCGAAATTCCACTCAGTTTATATTTTTTTCTTGAATTGGAAGAGAAGACAAACAAAATCAAGTTCAAAGTACGTAGTTTGTTTTATTTTTAAATGTTGTACCACTTGAAAAAAAAACGTGCCCAAATCACGAAAGCACTTGATGCACGAGTGGAACTTTTTTCGTATTGTAAAATTGTTTTCTTTTCAAATTAGACCTTTACTTGGTACGCAAAACACGTAATTTTGTAGTAGTATATGAAGAGTCAACTGTTGAAGACTCGATTTCATTTTGTACCAATAGAAAAGTTTTTTATTAATTACATTATGACTAAATACGCACTATTCGGAGTGGCAAGTGTGCTCTTTCTCTAGTTTTTCAGCTCTTCCCCCGAACAGAGAAAACTTAAATTTGAAAAAAATTTTTTTACTTGAGTCTTACTGAAAAAATATTTCCAATGAAACACTGATCATTCGGATGAGGGCATAATTTTGGGTTGCCCTGTATACGGTAGTAGCGTATACTATGGAAGTCCACGACCCACGTCAATTTTTATCGATCTTCTTGGGATCCTTCCATTACAGCCAGAAAGAATCGATCCGACTGGAGACCCATCGTGTTACAATATACGTTCCGATGTGTGGAGCTTGGGCATTTCAATGATTGAACTGGCGACCGGGAAGTTCCCGTATAAAACATGGGGAACTCCGTTTGACCAATTGAAACAAGTAGTTCAAGATGATCCTCCGCGTCTCCCAGACGATGGCAGCTTTTCTCCGGATTTTTGTGACTTCGTTGCGAGATGGTGAGTTGATCTAAAAATTTACTGTGAAATGGAAATGTCGATTGACGTTCAGAAGATGTACATGAAACTTCGCGGTCAATATACTGAAGAGGTTTCCAAAAATAAAATATAGATAAGTAAATAATCATGAAAATGTTCGCAGCAGAAAATTCAATAAGTTGGCCCTTATTTTTCTGATGAAACAGCTCATGTTTTCTATTTACGATGCACATTCAATCCATGCTTCCAATGGAAGCAGAGTCCACTTGAGAAGACCGTCTTTTGAAATACTATTGTGGCGTTTAGTGACAACTACTCGGGCTGGAAAAAATCGTCATTTGAATGATCAAAAATGGGAAAATATGCTGTAGAACTCCGATTATAATGTTTGATTAGCATGTCCTAGTTGGAATTGACAGAAAAACCGAGCGGTGTGTATACAGTATCTCAAAATTTTTTACAGGGCGGCTTTTTTTCATTTTGGTTGACTAGTTTTCCTTGTTTTGATTCTTCAGGTAGCGGAAATCCCATTACTATTGTTTCAGGATTCGTCAAATGTTGAATCTTCACGTAAAATCTTAACTGTATTTCATTCGAAAATCCAACACTCACGGCCATTAGGTTGGATGATCAGTGTTATACTTCATTCTATGGATTAGAAATACTGTATCTTACCGAAATGTGGAGGCTTTCGAAGGCTGTGTGTTTTTAAAGCACTGTGCAGTAATACATAGAAGGAAAGTCCTTAGTTATCTTGCGCTGATTTGATTATTTTTCCTGGAAAACCCCTAATTTCGTTTCGCAAATTCTGAAGTTTTTGATAAATGTTTTGTTTGATTTTTAAAGTTTGCAAAAGAAGACTTCGGATCGGCCAAATTACCAGCAATTGCTGAGTCACCCGTTCGTCGTCACCCATCGGGAAAGGGTGACGGACGTGGCGTCGTTCGTGAACGAGATCCTGGGTCCCGTCGCCGAGGAGGCTCCATCTTCATCAAATTCAACCGCCACAACTACCCCTAGTCCTACGGGAAATGTTTCGAAATAATCAAGTTCAAAGGCATCACGAGGAGTAAATCGCTTTTCGCGCTTGGGCAATGGACTTCCCCGGATACTTGGCCGGTCGCGTTATGAAAAAAAACATCCAAAACTATTTTGTAAGTTCCCCTTCGTTTTTTTTTCGAAATGAGCCTATGCGTTAGTAGTACTGTATGATGAAGGATGTGTGTCAAGAACGTCAATTTAACTGAACTTGTTCCCGTGATATTCGTCTTGATATATTTTTCGACGGAGAATGTCTCTCCATGATCATTCATGTTCGGAGTTTCATTCGAAGTAAAGTCGAGAAATCTCGAAAAAATATGGATCACCGTCTTCTTGACTTCCTTACGGATAAGGATACATTTTTCGTTGGTAGAAAATAATTGACATTACTGCTGAAGATTCCGTGAGAAACGCGATGGTGCTAATGAAATATTTCAAGTCCGATTCCAACGAAAAGTTCTTTGTGCTTGCACGGCGCCGCCCAGAAAGCCGTGTTGTACGGAACTGCCGTTCGAGGTGTAACACTTCCTTTTTTTTTTGGCCCGCGGCTATGGAGGCGATTGTTTTCCTCTCGTGTGATCGAAACCAGGGAGACGATGAAGATTAGTGAAGTCACAGCGTCGGGATTTTTAGTGCTGAACGAAAGCAGCGCGTGTGTTGAAACGAATTCACTCCTTACCCTTTTTCGGTGAGGAGTTCTGTCTCTCGATGACTATATTCATTCGGCTTCTTTTTTTTTTCTTCGACTCCATGCCTTTTGTGCTATCAACTCTCGCGCAGTTCGGACGGAAACGTTTCCTTGTTTTGGAAGAGAGTGGGAAAGAAAATGTGCTACTGTTCAGTTGTAAAATACTGTATCCGTCTTTTTCCAATTCGCGTTCCGTCTGTGTTCTGTGCAAATATTTTGAAAAATCACTCAACCTTCGAGCAGGTTATCAGAGAAAATGCCTACTGTGAAGTATTTCGGAAGGCCCACTCAGCAGCAAGGGAAGTATCTGTGGGATTTGCTGGGAAACCTCAAGAACTTCGGCGTCGGTCGAATCTTCGTGCGTCAAATGGAAGTTGCTGAACATCCCGGGGAAATGAGCTTTTACAAAGTGGTGTCTGTGAAGCCTGCCATGGATGAAGTAAGTTAATTCGAATGGTTCCATTAGAATATGCACCTTGCATTTTTTTTTTTTTTTCAACTATGAAATTCAGAAACATGTGAAAGAAGAAGTGCTTTGCGAGAGAGTTTTCCGTGGAGTGAAGATGGAACGCGGCCGACCAGTTGTCGTGAATCCTAAAATTCAAGATTGGCAGTTGGTACCGAAGTCAATGGAGAAGCTTTACGTGGACTTCAAAGCAGTCGATCCCACCATAAAGAAACTGCCTTCTCTTTTGAACGTTCCGCCACTTATGAAGGTTGGTTTCTTTTTTTTTCTTTTTTTTGAACTTAATTTCCAGTTGATTTTTTATACTTGACTTGTCAAAGATTTAACAGAGCCGAATGCCTCGAACACTTTTTTCTCGAATTGTCTGGACTCCATCGACTTGATTTTTGTACCCCTGAATAATTTTTATTTTTCTAGAATGAGGCGGATCTCTTCAATTTTTCGGTACTGTCATAGTACAGTACGTGATTGGTAGCGAAATTACGATTGACATTCGAGTTAATGGGTTAGTGCCTGAAATACAAGAGCAACTTTGACCAACCAAACATTAAGGAAATTACAGTGAATCACTAGCATATTTGCATGTACAGAATTTTAAGAAATAGCGTTGAACCTCGAAGTCTCAAACCTCTTTAAGTCGAATATCTAATGTCAAATTTTTTTCCAAGTCCGTCTGAATTCCATTAAAAACAATGCTTCAAAACTTCCTTAACTTGAAGACTTTCACCCAAAACCTCCAAAAATCGAATTTTGTGAAGGTCTTCTGACTATTATTTTTTCGACACAGGAAAGATAAAAGCAGTACGAGTGTAATTCGTTGTGTTTTGAAAGGTAGTGGAAGGCAAATCGGACAAAAGAACACATGTCTCTAAGTTCAAGACCTTGTCAACTCATTTAAGAAGCAATTTAAGGCCCAGAATATCACCATTACAATTTCCTGTAATTTTTGTTCCTTTCCCCTTCCCCCAACAAAATGCTCCCCTACCTAACTGGATGCCTCCCTGACTCAATTTTTTTCTGGTCTCTGGAAGTTGGACATGAGCAGGCTTGAATGTACAGTATATTGTTGACTAGTTGTCATGCACTTGACCGGAAACTTCAAGACGATATCGAACTTCGGTTCTTTTTCAGTCTATTTTTTTTTTCAAGGTAAAACGTGTCTTTTACATTCGAGTAAATATGAAAATCCCTTGAGAGTTTTTAAATGGAATCTTCATATTCTTCTGCATCTAATTCCAGTAGGATTTTTACCGGGAATACTTCATGGAATTCAGTGCCATCATTACAGACAAGTTTTCCTCAGACAAAATGAATAAATGCGATGTGTTTTTGGTAGGAAATTCTTGCCGGTAACAAGGGAAATGCTGACACCGTCAAAGTTCCGTACAAGTACGACGAGGAACTGAAAAACGCTGTTGTTGCATCGGAAGGAGAGAAACCCGATGTAACTTTTGATGACAGTGCTCCACGATTACACACGACTAGTAGAGCATTGTATGAAAATCTTGAAGAATTTGAAAAAGTGTTGGCGGAAATACCTGAAGATACCAAAGAAGAGATGATCATGGGACGAAAGCTGTTCCGGGAATTTCTAGATAAAGTTGAAGGTCATGCAACGCATGAAATTCCGAAGAAATAATTTACAGTACTTCGTATTTGTTAGTCAAAGTTATGTGATTGTCGCATAAAATTGTTACTTGATCTGATCACGGTATTTTTCGTTTTTATTGTCTGCATTTATGATCCGAAGAAGAATAAGACAATTGGATCGTACGTTTTTTCGGAAGAAAAGAGGGGGGGAGCTTCGTGGATCCAACAAAAATTTTTCTTCTTGCCAAGTTGTTAAGAATGTGTATCAATATCTAGAATTTTGTGTCTGGGAAGTTTCACGTTCAAGATTTGTCTTCGTGGACAACCCCGAGATGGACAACTCGTCTTGCACACCAGTCGATCTTTTGAAAAAAATCCACGCTTTCACCGTTCCCGCTTTCAAATTTGCCGAGATCGAACGGAATATTTCATTATCTCATAGTCAGAATTATCACCGGAGCGATTTCGAATTTTTTTCGCAGTACCTTTTGTTTATCATGAATCTCTTGAGGGCTTCTATGCAATGAAACGTTTAACAAAAGGGCCACGAAATATATTTTGTCAATTTAGTATATTTCATCGATTTTTAGTGTTGACATCATATTTCTACAAATGAACATGAAATCACGTCAGTCAAAAAAAATGTATTTCAAACGACCATTTCTCATTTTCAAATGTCTGTTCGTTTCCACAATTCAACTTGAATTTTGATTTTTGTGCAACATTGTGGGACAACCAAGCATATTATTGGGAGCAATTCTTTAATTGTAGGAACTTGCCCAAGGCAAAGTGCGTCACTCGGAATATCCGAGGTCTGCTTTTTTGTACAAGATTCCTATTGGAATGGCCGTTTTCTTCAGTTGATACTCGAAACGTCACTGGAAAAACAGATCACTGGATCTTTGTTGACGATCCTTCTGAAATGCTTTCAATGACGATGAGAGTAGCCTTCAGTTCTGCAAATTCCAAAAAGGATGGTCGAATTGGTCAGATAAGTTATCGATTCTTCGATTCCAACGGATGAATTTTTCGAAGAGTGGCATTAATCACATTGGCCCCATAGAATCGTCTTCTCTGGTCTGCATTCCACAAATAACGAGCAAAATAAAAATGTGAATGCCTTCCAAGACGCATTGTGACACTTCAGAAATCTTCATGCTTGAACTTCGTTCTAAAATTCCGGGCTTTGCTCAGGAGGCAGGTGACGATGATCACCATGTCTGTCATTAAAACGCTGGCCATCATGCTGGTGACTTGCGCGGAAAAGATCTGCAAATCCGCGGAGTTCCCAGGAACGAAGCCTCGATTTTTTGCTTTTCTCAATCCGCAGAATTGATAGTAGACTGCTGTGGTGCCAAACACATGTAGCAAGTTGTGCGAGCTTCCGATAATGTCGAAACTGCGGGAACAAAGTTGGGAACTTGATCATTATCTGTCGCCGTGTTGAGATAAAACACACAAGATTTTAATCATACTCGTTCTAAAAATAACATAATCAGCAATTCTTGAAAAAGAACGGAATCAAGAAGGTCACCACTCGAGTTTAATCGTAAAATAAAAGATTCTTTTCACGTCCATGCTATTGGATGTCTCGTCAAGTGCATTACAGTACTGTACTTGATTCATTTTCGAAAGGTGGTCGCCTCTCGCCTGCCTGAACTTCGTTTCTTTATTGCTCTCAAACGAGGTTTTCAATGTAACCCTGTACAAGGTGGACACGTGGGCTCTCTCAATACAACGAACTTGTCGACAAAGATTTTATCTCTGCGGGAACTTCTTTTTTTAGTCCCATAGGATTCTCTCCCTCTATTTTATAAGGTTTCTCTGCAACGAAATTTTTCCTGGTCCTTCGATTATTTTTTCTTCGTAGTCCACCCGTTGAACGGTATTAGGTAAATTTTGTCTTCGATAGTTTCAGGTCGGGTTTTGTCGGTGTAGTTGCTATGGTGAAATCAGTTCTGTTTCAGTTCGTTCACTTTTCGCCAAGCTATTCCCGAATGCGGAATGCATAGGGATTTGAGCGACACCTGCGCGACGTTCGAGAAACGACAGTCAGGCATTTGTATAACGATCGAAAACAGCACTATTCTTCCATGCTACTGATGGATCTCGTTGTAACAGAACTTGTTAAAAATGCACTATAAATTCTTGGAAACACCATCATGAAACAGATAATTTCTCGAGAATTGCCTTTGGGGGGTATAATTAAGCAGAATAGTTCACCTGCCGGGGAACCAGCGCTCTGGCCAATGTGACCCGTATACGCCGGCAGCTATGGTCAGCAAAACGACATGGCTTAGTTCGTTAGCCAGGTCATCGAATCGCTGGGTCACGGTCAGATTGTAGATGAGCGGGAGATTTGTCCACGTGTACAGCACTGCGAAGCCTGCGAGACGCGATATTTTCTGCATCTGTTCAGTGAAATGAATCCACAAGTTAATTAATGAGGATCAGTGACGTATAGATGATGAGTGGGGCCTTGAGGTGCAGACGTACTGCAATTACTTCTCAGGCTGTGCCCGTACTTTAGAAAATATGAATGTTAGATGATTTATAATATTTGTTGACGTTTCAGGAAGTATTTTTTAAATTTCGTTGAAAGCTGGAAAAAAAGCCAGAAAAGGACTGGGATTTCTTCAACAGCTGGTCTAGTTCTTCTGGATCTATAGAGCGACTTGAATTGAGATTCGGGTATGCGATCGACTCGACAGCCTTATGGTGAAACGATCCTTGAAAATTGAAAAGCCATTCAACGAATGAAAACGCCCAAGATAAAAATTTCTACTCCTAGGAAATTGATATGCATCACGCACGCAAAAAAAGAGTAGTTTCTTCACAAGACTTACATAGCCATAGAATTAGACATACAATATACTGTACTACTAATTTCAGTCTCTGCTGTGAAAGTGCATGCTAAGTTATTATTATTTTTTAATTATGTTGAATACTGTACTTCATTCCTTAAATGATTGAATCTATCTCACTATGTGCTTCATGCTCACAGCACAAAAGCTCAGATGGGGAATTAAATCACCAGAATTAGAACTACAGTACACTTTGCCACCACCGAAACATGCGTTTGAATCTGAGTTTACAAATTGTCTTTATTGTTAATTTCATCTGATACGTTGTACCTTCATCATTAGCTCTGGTCAATATGTGGAAGGCAACGAGCAATAAGTGTATAATACCGTTTTGAAATATTCGTCGCATTTAATTGTTCTCCTCTTGAAAGAGAAGGGCTGTTCCTGCTGTGTGAGAGGGTATAGTTCTATTCTACAGACAGAAATATTCATAGATCATGACTGAGATGTGTTCTGAGCATTTTCTATTTGGCCAAGCACGTACGGGATGGTTTTGAGAATATGTGTGGCCTTCGAGAGCACTTCAGCGATAAAATAATTAGGACATCTAAAATGTTCCAGACGGTATTATGAATCTACTGTAATTTGGATGTCAAATCAGTATATGCAGTGGGGTTTATATGGAAGCCCCAACACGCTGATAAATTCAACTTGAGGACAGTTGAAACTATAAATAACTTTTCCAATAAATCTGGAAACGGTCTCAAGATGTCTTTTGCATTTTACAATACTTGAATGAGCGCGAGTATCTGAATCTATCAACTCCTTGAGAACATTGGAGCGTTGGTTCATAAGTTTTGATGCATTTTGAAAGAGATCCAACGGAGTTTCATAACGATTTGATTTTTAGTTTATTCCCATAGCCCCATTATTCAACAACACTTCAGTGCTCTTCAACATACCCTCTGCCGATTTCAATGTATTTTGTCGTGTGATTAGTCCAACGATCAAAACAGTGCCAAAAATCTATTGCGTTCCGTTATGTTGATTAAGCTGCTCTTCGACGGCTAAAATGAGGCTGTCGCTGTCCTCAAAATCAATCTCTTTCAGGTCATTTCTGATCACTATTGGGAATTCACAGGGTGCCTGTTCAACAAACAGAGCTGGATTCTCGTCAATACAAAAATCAAAACACAGCAACTCAATTTTTGGCACATTTTTATTGTTTCCTATCACATGAAAAATGCATTGAAATCGCGGAGAGTATGTTGAACAGCACTGAAGTGTGGTGAAATGATGGGGCTATGCTTGTAAAGAAAAAGTGAATTGTTGAAACTCCGTTGGATCTATTTCATTCAAATAGAGTCTTGAACCTCTTATGAACCATCCCACGTACGTTCAAGAATGAATAATAACCTATACATTTCACCGACCTGTATTTTCATTCATTGATATGGTGTTTAAAACGAGGTATACGGCGTCAGAATCGTTAAAATTACCTTCCAGCATCCCGGGTAACGAGACAGGCACGCGATCAGCGTGCAAATCGGGCTCAGCATGCCCGCAATGCCCACATAATGTCTCCCCAACGTCGTGTCATGAAACCCCGGGGCGAAGTAGTAGGCGTAATTCCCGCACGCGGATCCGAACGCGTAAATATTCATGGCGGCGTAGTCGAGGAAGAAGGACAAGTCGAGACCCCGGGTGCTCACGGGCCAGAACCCATGAGCCAGACTCGACGTCAGCATGAACACAGCGACTGAGAACAGGTAGACCACGTAGGGACCCTCGCTGCAACCCATGTGGGCCAGGGCTTGCAACAGGAAGAAGACACCCGGGATGAAGTGGGTCCAGAAGTTGACGGTTTCATTGGATGCCCTGACCAGACTGCCCGCGCAGGATCGAACAGTTGCTGGGCATGCGCGATACCCGCTGAGAATGCCGGGTTCTCTGAATTCTTCGGGCACTTCACTGGCTTGCAGGAAGGTTGTGTCTCGCGGGACGAGCCGTGACGCGATGGAGAACACATCACACATCATCATTATTTCAATGCTGCTCTCACTATGGATAATAGAAAGGAAAATCCATGGAATCAGCAAGGATGCGTGATTTATGAAGTCATAATAAATTAATAATGGTGGTTCAATATAAGTGCCAAACCAGAAAAGGCATGATCATTCCCGGAATTAGTCATGTGCAAGCAGTAAGAGTACATTCATGTGTGTATACAGTAAAATCTCATCACAACAAATACCATTTAAAAAATTTTCAGTATACAGTATAATAAACTTTTTTCAAGTCCTGGCAGTAATTTTATAGGGCACATGTTATACAAATTTTGTTACAACAATCTCTCCAATTCCAAAATAACAAACTTTTTTGGAGTGACATGTGATTTCCCTAATGAAAAATCCCAATGAAGGCAGGATCAGTCCAAATTTTCCTTCCAAAATTTAATTGTGACTGGTTCTTGGGACATAAATGCAAGGTGGGATCAAGGACACAAATTCTCAAAAATTCACCCAAACAGCTTCTTTAAAAAAAATTTCATGGATCAGCAGGAAAAAATGGAGGGGGGGGGGGTTATAGAGAAGAAAGTGAATCCAAAAACTAGATGTTGTATGGGTTTCTGGATGCTTATCAAATCACAATGATGCTTGAAAACTGTAAGCTTTTTTGGAACATCCACCCTTACAAATCTGCGCAGAAATTGCTTAGAAAAAATTCAAGTCCACAAAAGTGAAAGTGTTAGCCTATTATTCAGAGTAAACTTTTTTTTATTGGCATTCAAATGTATTTTTGAAGATCATTTATTGAAACATGGAAAACATAGAAAAATGCCACAAAATCAACATCTTGAATATATGCAGGTTTAATTTTAAAAATCTTCCCATCAATAAACATTTTTTTTAAATCTCTTCAAAACAAATTATCTGTTTAAAATGTTTTCTGAGGTCACCTCAAGTTTGTTGTGACAGGATTTTACTGCATACAGAATGTACGCAATTGAAAGTTGATAACTTGAACCTCATCCCTGCGTCAAATAACTCCCTATGTTGATTGTTTTCTATTATGGTCACTGTCTGAATTCAATTATACAGGTAAACCAGTTACCACTTGTAATTACCACTTGCATATTTAAACATCTGAAAATTTGATCTTGTGATAAAAATACAGTAAATTGTAAAAATAAAAGTCATAAAACCATCGGTGCCAGCTATGATCCAGTGAGTATTTTTTACTGTTTGATGGAGCATCATGAACTTTATTTTCTTTAATTTATCTAGTTAACACGTTTTTGCTTTTCTGTTGCCAACTGTGACCGCACGTCTTGAACTGAGCATCTGACTCACTCCAACCGAGCAGTTCCTTATTTAAAATTTTAAAAACTTCATGCTTACATTAGTTTTGAGCCCTTGTTTTTAACTTTTAAACACGCAGCCGTCTTTCAGTTCTGAGTAAAAAAAAAATCTTGGGAGGTAATTTTTTCAATTTCTGGACCATAAGGAGACAGGTGAGTACCGCCACTGAATACACTCCTGTTCGTTCACGTTCAGTTTTACTCATGAAGTTCCTAGCTTTCCTTCCATCATGAAAACGAACGGATACTTCGCGAATAATGACGGCATGATATTGAGTTTGATTTGTTGGAAACTTGGTTCGCAATGGACAAAACCCTAGTTCACTGAAACCAGGCGTCTTCATAGAATGTCGTTTTCTCATGTCTCGGATATACGGCGCAAGGGTGGGGTTCTGGGTGAGGTTAATCATCAAGGCGCGGCTATCTATGAATTCATCTTTGGAATGATGAATCATCCGTCCCTTATTGAGACGACTGCATGTAAACAAGTAGAAGACAGCAGCAGTAAATATGACAAGTTAAAAACTCATCAGACGCATTTGAAATGAGAACTAAATTTTCATTTATCTTTACTTGAGAAACGAAATTGTTTAAATTGTGTAAACGAATCATGCATATATTTTCGATGCTCCTCATTTGCAGCGAGCCAAGTTTTTTTAATGCGAAAATGAACGAAACATAAATTTGAATCCAGGAACATCGTTTCAGATCAGAAAATTATTGAATTTTTAGATAACATCGTTTTCCTTGCATAGATATTATATCATACAGTATTGCGCATTGATTTTTTTTTCAAGATAAAATCTGCCGCTTATTCGAGCGACATTTTCTTTCTCAGAACGGAAATAACTTCCTCTCGGTTCTTCATTAGTTTCGCATGTTTTTGGTTCATGTTGATCAGAACAAATTGACAAGGATGAATTATGAACCGAAAATTAATTTGTTATGCAGCAGAGATGAAGAAGTGTGATTCAAAGAGTTACGATTATGTTTTCCGATGGGATTGTAATTTGAATTTCTCAAGTTTCATTGAAAATCATGGATGCTTACGTACTTTCTTCGAAAAACATGTAAAAAAAGCTTGGTCGTGAGCGAATAATTAATTTTAAGAGACCAACTGCTCATGCCGTACTTAGCAGCTCGTTATTAAAAAAAAATTTCCGCGAAAATTCCTTTATTTAGAAGTAAATCAAATTACAGTGTATCTTGAAAATTCTGCTAGTGATGCTCCAAAATCATGCATTAAAATATTTGATTTCTGTCTGGTATAAAGAAAGCAGGATTTAAGTCGCATTTATCGGGGCAAGCACTTCAGCCGGTCTCAAATTCACCGAAGAACTTCATTTCTGGAACTGACGTTGTACAAATTATGGATGGGTGATTTGAATTCATCCCACTTTATATTTTAATCAATTAAACATTTTCCGAGAAAACGCGGAAAAACGTGTTGGAAACCAGCACTGATTCACTCGATTCAGGGAACAAAGGTGTTTAGTGCAGTACCACATTCAGAGTTCAGATGACGCACCTCACGAGAAGAGAACGTATTTTCGAAAAGGTACACGTTGCTCTCGAACTCAAGTTTCGATGAGACACACTGATATATTAGCTAGCTTATACACATGAAGCGAAAAATTCCATCAAATTTTTGATTCCTCGGAAAGACTTTCAAAGCACCTTCCTCCGCGAATACCATGCTTCAAAGAGTTCGTTAATATACGATCAAAAAATTGAAATAAAAATACTTGCATTACTAGCGCGTGATTTCCGAAGCCTTCCCTACATATTCATGGTGAAGTTCAAAACATGGAACTTTTGGAGCCAACGGAGCGAATATCAAAGGAAGAGGTAAAGGTATTTTATAAATTGGCATGAAATTTCGAAGCGGATATCCGGCGATACATTTATGCATAGAACTCTAAAAAAAAGAGACTATTAATAGTTTAATCCCTAAAATACGCTTCATTTTAACCTTCCGGAACGATGCCTTTACAACGGAGTTCAACTGCTGCGCGGCATACAATCTGTATAATGATAAAAATTCACGAGGATTTTCGTAAATCTCTACAGAAACATAAAAATGACTCAAATAGAGATTCATCAAGTTTTTTTTGTGTTCAGCAACGATTCAAACTGAATGCTTGACTCTTCTGACTGACTCAAGTCTGATAAGAAGGAGGAGAATAATTCTGAACATAGTGGGACCCTGTCGACATACGGACGCCCCGACGTATACAAGGGCGATTTGACTCAAGTACGGTTGAAAATTCCCTGATATCAGCATAAGGTTTCGGGATGTGGACATTTTTCCGACATTTATAGAAAATAGGAAAATTTCATATTCAAAAATTTGGATGTCTCTTTAAAAAATTCAGCAACAGTAATTCAAAAAGTTTGTGAGCTAATCACGAAAATCGTAAATAAATTCTATCATAAAATTACATCAGTACTCAGGAAAAGTCAGCAAAAATTTGTCTATTTTATATAACCAAGGCTTATTCTTGTTCTCTTCTTTTTGTGCTTATTTTGAGCCAAAATATCAGATTCTGAGTGGATTTCTTCTGCACAGTTGGTTATTTTCAGTATTTTGAAGTTTATAAAATTTTTCTCACATTTTTAGGGGCGTTATATTTGGACAAACAGTAGAACCAATTGAATATGTATACATTTGAGTCTAATATTGGAAAACGTGATCCAACTTACAGATGCTCCAACAGAGAGACAAGCAGTTCCAAGCAATACGTCCGCATTTCGGGGCCCCTCTGCTTTTAAGAACGCTGAAGTAAATTTAAACCAGTTCATCATATAAATCAATAATATACTGTATTAGGTTCAGTTTTTCAATTCAGCCTTTTGTTGCATTTTTGTAAAATAACGCTTCTATACTATCATGTCATTCCATTTTGCCTACATTCATTCTCAGCAGCAGAGTAAATAAACTCATTTCTTATGCATTTAGATACGGGTTACATCTGCTTTTTGGTCATAGTATGATACACTTGAACATAGTCCCTAGTCATTTATTATGCATGACGTTCTTCGCAAGCTTTTTGATCTGGTCTCATCATCTGAATCTTATCCAATTATGAACCACGTACTGTACATCAGATTCCCTGCGCGACCCTGAGTTACTTGAAATTTTTATAAATTATGTAAGACGAAAAGTTTAGAGCTAAAAATAAAATAGTCGCAATTCCATGTTCTATATGCATGGCTCTTCGGATTTCCGAGGAACTCAATTCCATTTGTTTTCAGATCAAATCATGCATTTCTGCGAAACATCAGATTGCGCTTCTTCTGGGGAACCAAGAATAAACTCAGACTGATGATGAAATGACTGCAGGAGATCCACTCTATCAAAGTGCTGTACATACTGTGTCAGAAGAAAAGCACCCAGACAGAAATAGCTCAGGATGAGAAAATGATGAAAAAAATAATAATCAGCCACTACCATCAGAAACCTTTTCAATAACTGGATGAAATTGTTGCGTGGCGTGCGTATTCTATTTTTCATATGAATGTGTGACGACGTTCTCTAAAAACAAAGAAAATGGTCTTATTCTGGAATACTGATGAAATACGATTACTTATGGTTTGTCACACAAAATTTAAAACGCATTATTTGGCACCTGTGAAATCCACAATTTGCGGTGCGCGGTTTTCTCCCGGGTGTTGACTTCAATCCTCGATCCGGGTTCTTTTCTCCCGTCACTGTTGGTTATTGAAGTTAATCGCAAGAAATTATGGTAAACAGGTTGAGCTTTCAGTCTTCTCAAACAGTATGCCTGCGATCATTCCTGACGAAACACGTGAATCACATGCAAATTATCCCGCATTATTCGTTTTTTCACTTTTCGTGCGGTCAACTCAAGACTACCGCGCGAACACGACGCGATGAACGAAGTTTAAATCGGAACACGAGGTGAGCATGATCACGAACCAGTCGTAAAACAACATCATCCACACCATCAGTATGCCTGTTAAATAATGGAAATTCTGTATATATATGCAGCGTGGCCGAAGTCAAAACAATACATCTTCAAATTTATGCTCCCGAGAATTTTTCCGCCCTCCGTAAAATGTTGGAAAACTTGGCGTCAGCTCAGGTACTCTCTGGAAGTTTTCGGTGCAATATTCCGGTTATTTTGCCTAGCATTCTTTTTGTCCATATTTCTGTGAAAACCCACTGCGTTATTTTTCGTCGTTACAGTCGACGATGTAGTGTGGAAAAATCCCCTGACCTTACTCGAAACTCGGAATTTGTTCGAACACGCAGCGCGCGTGGATGCATCCGATGAGGGAAACGCATGACTCGTCGTCAGCATGCTTTTTATTTGTTCTTGTTCTGTATTATTTATTTCTTCAAAATTTTCACACTCACTCATTTAGAGAAACATCGTGCAACACGATGACACTCTGGTAACTTCAGGACTGTCATGTGTGCGTATTTGAGCACTGGTGCAACGACTCCGAAAAATCAATTTTTGTTAGATTTATGCAACGGATTTTTGGAACGCACGAACACCGAGCAATTAATCCGTGTTGCTCAAATAAAATTTTTCGATTGTCTCGAGCAGATCGATCAACAATCACGATGGGTCACGTCACGTGCATTTTTCATTTTCAAAAGATTGATTAATCACATCCCGCACAATGTTATGTAAAAATAATGCTTCCTGGAAGGAATGATTCATGAAAACCTGCGCGATATTCCCAGGAATTGATGACATATTATACTTTGAAATGTGTTTATTCTCGCCGAGTTTTTCGAGTTGCAGTTTTATGCGAATAGGTAATTGGAAACTTGTCTACAAAATTAACTCTTGAAATTGCAGTACTGTACTTCGGGATTCTGATGGAACCCTTGGAAAATTATTCCAGGGATAAGTAAGTGTCGAGTTTCAATTTGTGTCGAATTTCAAGAGGGCTTTCTGCTCTCGAAATAAGATATAATATGAGAAAGCAATGCAATCCAATTTAAACTTACGTAAAATGCTGACTTGTGTACGTTTTCGAAATCTATGATATAATTTTGGTTTCAAATACACTTTATATAGTCACCGGATAGCTTCTCTCAAGCAAGAATAGTAGAGCGACCTGAAACTCCGTCTACAGCATCTGAAACTGGATGCTGCATTAATATGTATAGCATAAACTAATGTGAGAATGACTTATTTGAAACCCCCGACTCAAAGCCTGATCTTATAATCAAAATTACACTTAAACTTCATCAATTTCTTCAAGTAAAAGCACATCATGATGGATGTGATTTGAACAACAATTTTGCCCGAAATTAACGGAACCCAATTGCTTGAATAATGTATGGGCGAGGAAAAAGCATCGACAATGCCTAATTTAATTACATGCATGTAGTGTACACTGTATAAATAATATAAAAAGTCGTGGCTCGAACTTATAGTATCTACAATAATATCCGGAAGTCCGCAGACTTTCCCCAGTTTTATAAAAAATGCCGGTGTCCCTAAAAATCCTGACGTTTCTAAAATTATTTTGAACCAAAATCTGAAGCTATGCAATCTGAAAATTTGATCGATTCCTGTATGAAATGAGCCTGCAATAATTCAATGAAAATTTAATGTGCATTTTTCTAACGAAACAATTTAAAAAAAAGATGTGCGAATTAATCTTATAATTTTCCCAACATCCGCTGTGTGATAAGTATAGAACCAAACCGGAATATCCTAATCATATAAGCTGCATAAAAACTGCCAAAATTCCTGCGTAACGTCACTTACAAATTAATAAGATGGCCCTCATCGCATGCCTATATGTAATTACTGAACAACAAAGTGCCAACACTGTCTTCGCGTGACGGAGCGATCAAATATCCGCGGGATTAACATGTCTCAATATCCCACACAAGACTAGTATAAGTAATGCATGCAAAAATATTACAGACATGACGCGTGATGTCGACGACGACGAGACGCACTAGGATTTCACAACCAGGTTCCTGCATGTCGCATCACCAGTATAGGCCTTTAAAATTACCGAAGATTAAAATACAGAAAAAAATATTAAGACGGTTGTTCGATTAGCGTTTCTTTTTTTGGTTTTAAACCTCGCTGCTCAAAACACTGGAAAAAAGGAGAGAGAGAGAAAGAGAATTATACAGCGTGTCTCAGGCGGAAATAACACGTGCTTATAGTCACTCGAAACCCTCCATCCGGAACCCAGCACTATCAACTTTCCTGCACTCATCCGCGCGGGGTTCGTTTTCTTTTTCTTTTTTTCACCGCCACGTCGAAGCCCGTCGGGCCCGGGGTTGTTTGTCTCGCATCAGTTTTGGCTCGCTTTTGCAACCTGTAACCCGGGGTTCGCCAGGAAAAACATTAACTGTCTGGACTAGTTTATCTTGGCGAGCCGGAACTAAGTCAGCAGCAGCAGCAAACGCCGAAATCGAAGCAGAACACGCGACGGATGAGTCAATATCCATTGCGACCGACGCGTCCAGTGATGTGCAGTCGGGGGAATCATCGCCATTTTCTTGGGGATTTGCCTATAGAAACAGATTATTCACTCTTTTTGAGGGCGTGTTGATTTTAAAATTATTCTGGAATATATGTTCCGTGATTGAAAATGCCGGCGCATTGGAGAATATGTCCATGAGGAAAATTTCATCATTCAGTAAAATCTCGATGAAACACTTTTTTTTGGACTTATTCAAGAACATTTTAGTACCCATGACTGATTTTTTACTGCGAGATTTACGAAATGAATGACTGGAAAAAATTTTCACATCAGATGACCTGCCTAAAATCAATTACATATCTTCACACAATTTTCACATCAGACCTGCATATAATCAATAAGATATATCTTGCTCCTCAGGGATTCTCAGATTTTTTATTATTGCTCTATAAAAAATAAGTGATTTTCTAAAAAAAATAGTCCCATCAAGTATTCCATCAATGCACCAATACCTTCATTCTTTGCAGATAAGGCGTGGAACCACTTGGAAGCATGGTTTTCATTGATTAAAGCTTCCACCCATGCCAAAAGAATCAGCCAGTCAAATTTAGGATTGAAAATTCCAGACTGTGCCTGTTTTAGTCAGGAAATGTCTATCTGGAGAATCCATGAAATATAAGAGCTTTTCACAAGTATGACTTTAACCTTTCAAAAAATATATGTCCACCACGGGGTATTAAACTGGGATTAGGTAACGACCTGATCCACAACCTAACTTTTTGTCAGTTTAACGTTTCACTACGGGAATGCTATGTTCTCTATGTCATATTTGATGTTTTTGCCAATCTCTGTGGGTCAAATTGCTGGGCCTAGGTTGAATTGCAAGTTGACATCCTAGCAAATTCAACAGCTGAATTGCAGAATGGATGAATTGCGAGAGGTTGAATTGTGAGGTACCACCTGTAATGATATTTTTTGAACATTAACTGCATGGATTTTTGTCAGGACTTGAGAAAAAATTTTTTACGCCGAAAAATGAGTGCAACAAAATTTTTTGTTAGGAGATTCTACTGTATTCACTTTTTAGTGCATATTATTGCTTTTCAAATTCTTCTGAAATATGCTCAGTATGTAAAATGCCGACATGGAAAAAATGGCCGTGAGGAAATTTGCATGGTTGAAAAAATTATATCACCCCGGGAAACAACTTGGAATAAAGTTGGATATGGGCGCAAAAAATCGCGCGAAAACATCGAGCAAGAATTCAAGTAAATGACTCAAGTAAAGGACATTGATCTAACATATACCGTATATCAGGGGTGCCCAAGATACGGCCCGCGGGCCAGATCTGTCCCGCGGAGGCTTTTCATCTGGCCCGCCAAGACAGCATGAAAGCTCATTCTCGAAAAGTGTTCATACTGAAATTGGAAAGTTTTTTATATACAGGTGGTGCCCCATAATTTGACCCTAATCCATTGCTGGACTAGGTGTTGGATTGAAAAACAGTCAAATTGCAAAGTGATGCCAAATGCTATGTTCTCTATGTCATATTTGATGTTTTTGCCAATCTCTGTGGGTCAAATTGCTGGGCCTAGGTTGAATTGCAAGTTGACATCCCAGCAAATTCAACAGCTGAATTGCAGAATGGTTGAATTGCGGGAGGTTGACTTGTGAGGTACCACCTGTAATGAGATTTTTTGAACATTAACTGCATGGGTTTTTGTCAGGACTTGAGAAATTTTTTTTTTACGCCGAAAAATGGGTGCAACAAAATTTTTTGTTAGGAGATTCTACTGAATTCACTTTTTAGTGCATATTATTGCTTTTCAAATTCTTCTGAAATATGCTCAGTATGTAAAATGCCGACATGGAGAAAATGGCTGTGGGGAAATTTGCATGGTTGAAAAAATTATATCACCACGGGAAACAACTTGGAATAAAGTTGGATATGGGCGCAAAAAATCGCGCAAAAACATCGAGCAAAAATTCAAGTAAATGACTCAAGTGAAGGACATTGATGTAACACATACATACGAGTACACTCGAGTAGACCCAGAAACAAGCAAATATAAACAGAAAAAACACGACTTTAGCGAAAAATCGTAATCGATTTTTGCTAAAAGTAGCGGACTAGTTTCGGATTTTTTAAAAGCTATGTGCATTCAAGGTATATTCATTTTCCAAATTAGCCAGCAGTAGTTTTATAAATTATCGATTCATCTGTGCCAGAAAAAATAGCCCTCGCGATCAAGGTGACGGGAGGCTCGGTCAGGTCAGCTCAGCTCATTATTTTTTGACGCAAATGAGACAGGAGATTACTTCACGTAAACGAGGTCAAGCTTGCAATATTGCATTGGCTGGATTTTGGCGGGTTGTGCGGCACATTTCGCAAGGTATCAGGTGCATGCAGACAGCTGTTCATTGAAGAAATTTAAACTTGCTAAAAATTTCACCACGTTATAAATTTGCTCGTGCTTGAGATACCAGGTGGAATACTGAGACGCATATCCTATTAAAAATCGTCAGCATTCGGAAATATTTACTCAAGGAAAAATAAACGAAAGACTTTTTCATACGCATTTTCCAAAAGAAAATTCATATTAAAAATGCGGATATACATGCTATAATAATGTGCCTCTTGAACAATTTTAACAATTAACATTCCTTCTAATGCTTCCGCAAAATATTGTAGTATAGATAATCAGTTACGAAATTGTACGGCAGTTTGTGCCTCTTGCGTCCCACGGTCACGCACGAACAATTATCTTGACGTCGGTTAGATGTCGCTAGCGATCACAATTCTTTCCGAGTATGATTTTGATTTTGTGCTGTAAGAACTTACAATTATTTCTTTCATGTCCATCGTTCATGTATATTGTGCATAGAAAGCATGAAGGGAAAACTGACTAAAGAATTTCATTAATGTCTCACACAAAAGTTGGTTTACGGCGTCATGCTGGCTGCTCTATATTTCATATAGCTGAAACCGGAAATCGTGCTCGTCTGCTGCTCAATACTGTATACTGTATTAGCTGTCATGAATCATCGACTTTGACATTGGAAGGGATTTCTCACGCTGGTCACAAGACGTTTCCGTTTATGCAAATTCAGCAGGCAAATATTGTGAGTCATGTGAGTCATGGAGAATTCTTGAAAAAGAAGCGAAGATTTGCACTCAAATTTTTCGAGTTTCAGAGCTGAGAGCTTCTGATAAAAATCCCCGCATTCCTCATTCGCTGGAACCTTAAAACAAACACAGCGAAACGGTACACAGTACTGCTGTAACGACTTTGTCTGTATATTTTGTACTCGTATACCTTCTTTTTTAATTTCGAGCAGAACTGTAAAGAATGCATGAGTACCATGTTCAAGTGCTTGTACAGTATTCCGTCGCGGCGATCTGTTACATTCCGAAGGGAAACTTCGCGAGTGAAAAATGTCTTGAAAGATTTCTATAATACTAAAAACAGCCTGTATACGTCAACAAATTCAGCCAACTTTAATTCCTCTGACGATAATATCATCGCCATCAATCCATCGCAGTTAAGTTTCATTTTAAATTTTAGGGCAATTCTTACCCGACGGTTTTCTGTCTCGAAATTCGTCCCAGTCAATAAAGAGAAAGCTATATGATGATTAAATATAATCAAGATTTATCATCCTTCCCGAAGGACTATATAAATTGCGTTAATAATCAATTTTTGGGTTGTAACTTTGAATTTGACAAAGAAAAGAGCAACCGAATTCGCTATAATTGCCATAAAAATATAAGCGAACAGTTTATAGTCGTTGGAGTTGCATTTTTGTAGAATCTTGAAAGCTAAATTAAATTATAACCAGTACGTGGCATATAAGACGTTGAGCACGATTTTTGTTTTAAAGAAGATAGAAATTCCAGCGAAATATTTACGGCATCCCAAAGGTATTCGGAATTGACTTATTCTTTCAACTGGGCTAATGTATAATATTCCGGACAGTGTGGCTAGTAGAGTAGATGAATTGAAAACATTCTTGTAATGGATATATATTTGAAAAGCATGAAGTTCAAAATGAAAAAATGCTTCATCGTGATCTATTATTTGTATCTTAACAACCACAACTTTTGAAGTTTTCACTCAGATTAATTTCTTTGTTCTATCGAATATTACGCGAATAAATACAAAAAACCATCAGCTTATTGAATGTTGAATCCAGTTGAAAAATTAGAAGCGACGTTCCTTCCAGGGTCTATATTCGATGATTAGGTCTACTTCCTTGGAGAAACAAAAATACTGAAGTATATTTCTCCAAGTTGAGTTTTAAAAAGTCACGATGTCACTTTGCAAACATCGATGTCATCACTTCGTTATTATTGCGGTAATTAAGTAGTAGAATAATCACAGACTGGCACACTGAACCCGAAACATCCGTTTCACTTCAATGCGCTGAAACTCTTTCATCCTTTTATGCCACACTCTTATTCCCGAAGCAAGACTGAGCAATACTTAGCATTATTCTCAGGGCAACGTCCGTCTTATCAACATTTTCAGTCACACGCTTTTTTGACATCGTGTTCACATATAAGTACACTATAGGATTTCAGTTTTTTCTTCGCTTTTCCAGCCATCTATATAGTGCTCCTATAGTTTCATGACACTTATTTTACGTATTATTTCTAAAAATTTATCTTGGATATACACAATTGTTTTGGTAGGAAAAAATGGAAAGAAAAGCCTCTGCATCATGAACTGTTGAAAATCCGCGCGATCAGTCGTTCGATGAGAAAATTTGCGTTTGCTTGCGGGTTTTTATTGATTGAACGTGACTTTCAGCACCGGGAAAATAATAACGGACTTATTTGCGTATCGTATAACTGTATTCTCTTTGATTGGCCTTAAATTTTGCTCTGGAAGAAATGAGATGCAATGGATTTTTCATCTCGTCTTTCGATTGGCGATGAATTTCACTTCCGTGGATTAAAATCACGATGAAATATATTTTCGCAACGAATGAAGAGTTCTAATGGAAAAGTTGTGAATTATCGAAAATTTCGGATTTCCTGCGCAAATGTGACCAACAGTTTTATACTTTTAACTTCCGTGGATTAAAATCACGATGAAATATATTTTCGCAACGAATGAAGAGTTCTAATGGAAAAGCTGTGAATTATCGAAAATTTCGGATTTCCTGCGCAAATGCGACCATCAGTTTTATACTTTTCCAGCAAGAATAATGAAGTAACTCTCGTCGCATCTTGATTATCTTGACTAAATGCGATTCTGCAATTTCATTTTCGAGAAAAAAAATAGACGTAAGAAGAAATATAATATTCGACTTGCTCATTCAGTTGAAAAGGAACTGCTGATTCTTCTCGTTGAAAATGCTGGAATAATTTTCGTCGAATGAAAAAATGCAGTACTCTATATCGTTTGTTTCACGATGTTCGTGTGCGCAAGAAAAAAAAAAAAACCGAGAGCAGAAAAAGGCGCAAAGATATGGGTATACAAAGGACCAGGTCAACATGCTATCCATGACAGGTCAGGGCCTCGCACCCATTTTTCAGGATGGTAACACATTTAAAGACAATGGAGAGTTCACGGAACTAACTCACATATAAGCTACCACATAACATCATCAATCAACTGGAGATTATTCAGGCCTGCTTTAAAATTCATACACAACACACAAATTTCAACTGTACAGGTGGTACCTCCCAATTCAACCTTAATATGTTGTCAAGCTAGGGTCAAATTGCAAAGCGGTCAAATCGCAAGGCACTGAAATTGAATAATATCATTTAAAAAAAAAACCCAAAAAATTGGCCAAAGGAGGTTGAATTGCAAGGAAATGGTCAAATTTCAAATCAGACTTCCTGCAACTTTGACCATTGAATTGTAGGAGGTCAAATTGCAAAGTACCACCTGTACCTGCACATAATGTTATTTAGATCTTTTGTTATCTGCATCCATAGCATAATCTCCAAACCCTTGCGTATGTTTTTTCCCAGATGACATAATTCAGCATGTAAATTTGCTGTCATCCCATTTGCAATACTTTTAATGCAAAAAAATTAAAATTGCACATAATAAACTGCAGAAGCACTTCATATATATCTTGCCCAGGTACCCAACTGGTTGGGATGTGTACCACAGGCATTCCAGAAAATTCAATAATGGCTAGGGCTTCTCAACATTTTCTGGATGTCAAAGCCATGAAGGCATGGTACAATAATGTACTTCGTGTTTTAAAGTATCAGATACCCATCACATTCAGCATGGCATAGTTCTATTTCATGTCTATACTTCACAAGTTTACGCAATATATTTACCAGTTCTTATGCCACTAAGTGAGATTATTGCATTTAGGGCATCAAAGGGATGGAGGAATATTTTTGTGGCCAAATTATTGGCACAAAGTGAGGGTATAACATCACACATTGAGGAGTAAAAAATCTAAGGTTGACTGGGAAGCATTTGGTCCCCTTTGCGAACAGTACAATTCAACAAACAAGCCACAGGTCCAAACATTCACACGTATTGTACACTGAGGCACCAAGATGTGGACACACATTAATTAATACTCAGAACAATGAAGGTCCCAAAATTATTTTTTTTAGCAGTATTGTCTCTTATGGTAACATTCTCAAAAAGCATACATGCAATAATGCATCACGTATTGAAAACCTTGCTAAAATCAACACTTCATCACCAATAATTCTCATGTCCAGTGCAGACAAGGTACCCAGCACTTGATGTACCACTTACCACAGTATGAAAAGCTCTTTTTCATATGCTATAAACCAGTGTTACCTAACCTTTTTGGGGCGGCAGACCAGGAAATTTTCATAAAATTTTCTGCAGACTGGCAAGTTCATTGAATTTTTGCATCAGTAAGTTTGGTTTGAAAGACTTTATGGCAGGCATTTGAAAGTTTTTTTTTTTTTTTTTTTTTGCAAAAATTAAATTAAACAATATGAAGCAGTTACAATAGAATGTCTTGAAAAAATTGGAAAGGTGGGCTTGAAGGAAGGTCTCTCAGAAGGCAAATTCTGAATCAATTTATCTCACCAGGTAAAAATCTGTCTGAAGTGTTGTTAGGAGATGACCCAACTTTCATTTTTTCATCAGATTATTGAAACTGCCCTTGTCTTTCCAAAATTTTAGATAAAGGAAACAAAACTTCATTGCTACTTGTGATAAATTTATTATTCATAAAATTTCCGGCAGACGGGCAAAAAACTTCTGCAGACCTGCTGCAGTCCACAGACCACAGGTTGAGGAACACTAAACCAGTGGTTTACAGACTGGCGCCAATCAACAGAAGTTTTTTGCCCATCCACAGGACATTTTCTCATGCATAATAAATTACCAAAAGTGGCAAAGAACTATTTTTTATCTGAAATGTTGGAAAAACTATGTTGAATAGCATATATGTTAGCGTTTCTCCAAACAAAACTTCAGACACATTTTCACCTGCTGAAATAATTCCCTCTGTGTTTTTCATTCTGAGAAACCTTTCTTCAAGCCAACCTATCTATTAAAAAAAGACATTCCACTTTATAGCTTCTTTATGATTGGTTCTTAATTTTTTCAAAGAAGAAGACACTTTTGAAATGCCTGTCATAGAGTCTTGCAAGCAAAACTTTTCTGAGTCTGCAAATATTTCATGGAAATTTGCCATTTTATGAAAGATGTCCTCAAAACGTTATTGTGGAAATGTGCAAGTCTGCAAACAAATGTTATGGAAATTTGCTGGTTGTCAGACCCAAAAAGATTGGGGAACACTGGAATAAACCAATGTATTCATACTTTACAAGTTTGACACATGCATATATAATCTGTGCATATACACTGAGACCCCCACATGCAGACACATCAACATCCGGACAATTCAACATAGAGACATTTATTTTTCAATAAAAATCATGAAAAAGGCCCAACAAAGGGACACAACATGAGGACATAGCATGATAAAATTGCCAATCAATTTCAGGAAAATTGACTTCTGTTAGGCTTAATTGCAAGAAACAGATATTTCCAGCCCTAAGATCTATGTAAGAAAAATTCTTTGGTACTTCTCCCATGTCTTTCCCATCCATTCAGCTAATTAAAAAATTTACTCTTAGCACAGAGGGACTTCCTTCTCTTTTTGTGACTCGGGTGTTATTTTTACAGACGCCAACATTTCAATTAACTGTACAGTGGTATACTATTCAATGCTCCAGATGTTCTTGTTGGGTTGAAAAGATATTCACTGAATCAAATTCAAGTGGCAAACAAAATGTGTTTCATGGAATTCTGAAGAATATTTCTCTGCTAACACCAATTAAAAATTATATATAATGTAAGTCTACAGGAAAACAAGACTCAACTTCGGGACACTCTTGATGCACCAATTATGTCCACATCTGGGGGTCTCACTGGATAACAAAGTAATCCATAACTTTTCAATAACTGCACACACCACATCCATTCATGCACTCACCAGAATAACTCGAGGATCACAACTGCTGGCCGACGAGGACTGAGAGCGAGTTTTCCCGGCTACCAAGTTCTGGAGCAGCGCGATTTCCCGCTGTTCGCACGACTTCAGCACACGGTCCTCCCACGGGTCGCCAACTGCGTTCAGGTTCTGGTCCTGGTNAAGAAACAGATATTTCCAGCCCTAAGATCTATGTAAGAAAAATTCTTTGGTACTTCTCCCATGTCTTTCCCATCCATTCAGCTAATTAAAAAATTTACTCTTAGCACAGAGGGACTTCCTTCTCTTTTTGTGACTCGGGTGTTATTTTTACAGACGCCAACATTTCAATTAACTGTACAGTGGTATACTATTCAATGCTCCAGATGTTCTTGTTGGGTTGAAAAGATATTCACTGAATCAAATTCAAGTGGCAAACAAAATGTGTTTCATGGAATTCTGAAGAATATTTCTCTGCTAACACCAATTAAAAATTATATATAATGTAAGTCTACAGGAAAACAAGACTCAACTTCGGGACACTCTTGATGCACCAATTATGTCCACATCTGGGGGTCTCACTGGATAACAAAGTAATCCATAACTTTTCAATAACTGCACACACCACATCCATTCATGCACTCACCAGAATAACTCGAGGATCACAACTGCTGGCCGACGAGGACTGAGAGCGAGTTTTCCCGGCTACCAAGTTCTGGAGCAGCGCGATTTCCCGCTGTTCGCACGACTTCAGCACACGGTCCTCCCACGGGTCGCCAACTGCGTTCAGGTTCTGGTCCTGGTCCTGGTTCTGCTGGCACAGTACGGTACAGAGGGAACCAGGATTTGTTATATTCGAACCCGAAATGCTGTTGAGGGATACGTTCATTCGCTTATTCACGCCAGCAGCAACGACGCGCTTGGCTTTCGCGAGAATAAATATTTAACCTCCGGTCGGCGAATCTTATCCTGATATCAACTATTCTTGAATAAGCAAGGAATGTGACGCAAAGTAAAAAAAAAAGAAGATCAAAATGTAAACCGAGAAGAAAAACTCGGATTGAGAGGAGTGGAATTGTACAAGTGTTGAGAAAATAAGCGCGTTGATCCGTTATTGGAGAAAGGCAAAAAGAAAACGCATTTTTCTTCAAATGTTCAGTAAATTATTGAACCTCGAAACGCGGCAAACTTCAGTTACGGAAAATGCCGTTATGATTTCATGCCTTATTATAAAACAAATGCCTGAAATAAACTCGAGCGGCAGAAAGAAAGGATTCAGATATTTATATATGCAAAGTGTTATAGTTGAACGATTGAAGATTCAAGATTAAAAAAAAAAACTTGCACATCAGGAACTATAACGCAGTATATTGAAAGAAAGTTCAATATTTTAAGTTTTCCACCTCAGAATTACAGTACCTCATTTCCTCGAGTAATATTTAAAGGATTATAACTGCAATCTTCAGCCATTCAAGATTATTTATAACAAGGATTCACCAGGTACAAAAATCTCGAGCAGAATAATTAAGGAAAAAATAATACCGATTTTCGCATACAGTATTGTACTATGAATCCTAATTGATCACAATGATTAACACAGTATAAAACTGCGAATTAATAGTTACTTCACGCCTCTTGGAAATATTGCATACCTCAATCTCACAATCGATATCACTAAATTTTATGATTTTTAAAATGGAGCTTTGAAAAAGCTGCCAAATGTTTCAATCTTGAATAATTTCATCAGTTCATTTAACGATATGCCTGAAAATTATCCTCAATTAAAACAAGGTTGTCAGAGAGGGAATAGAGTATTAATCACTTGGCTGAGGGCGAATTTTGGAGATCTTCAACGTGATTAGATTTTATTTCAACGTGTTAATGGAGAAAAAAAAATATCGCGCAGCAGAAACGTCCAAATTTAAAATTATAGCGTTTAAAATTATCGGTAAAACTGTATCATTAAATTTTGTTTTTTAAACATTTCTTCGTGCATTTGTTTACCTTAGTTTTGTTTCCAGTCAATCGTCGCAAGTCACCCAGCTGTTCTTCCAGAGCCTTGACCTTTTTCCAAACTAATGCCTCGGAACAAGGCCTGTGCTGAAATTGTTTCGCAATCTGGGCCGTGTGATCAACTGCCTTGCTAATCCACGCGGTTTCCGTTTCCGCCAAGGCAATGAGTTTTTCTGCAACTTCTAATACGAGTCCTGTTCTATGGCTGTCGTTTTCGATATGTGACCAGGCTGTGTTTGGCAGTACTTATTCACTGTCACGGAACACGAAATAAACTTGCGTTTCAAGGAATTTTTCGAACAAAAACAAAACTTACATCTTTCTGCACAAACAATATATGCATATACAAAAGCAGGTTGATTCTCGACGTTCAGCTATGATGAGCGAGGTTAATTCAAAATTTCAGGAATCAGTCAAGCAATACAATTATCTACGAGGGTTGGTTCATTATAAGTTTTGATACATTTTGAAAGAAATCCGACGGAATTTCCACAATTCGAATTTTTTGTACTCTCGTAGCCTAATTATTTGACAACACTTCAGTGCAGTTGATTGTACCCTCTGCCAATTTCAATTCATTTTTTCATGCAATAAATCCAGCAATTAAAACAGAGCCAAAAATCCAGTTCCCATAAATAGATGATTAGGCTGCTCTTTTATGGCAGAAATGAGGCTGTTGTTGTCCTCAAAAGCAATATCTTTCAGGTAATTCTTTATGATTGCAAATGAATGACCAGAAAGCTTTATTATTATCCACTTTTCAGTGTTCATAAAGTTCAATCAACATTCCCACAGCCAAACCCCCTCCCCACCCAACCCAAAATCCATTCAAACACTTCAGAATGGGGGACACAGAGAAACACTGCATATGGATACCAAAATAAAAGAAAATACATTCCACATACACTTGCACAACTTATGTGTATGCATACACCCCCTTCTTTCCTTGACATTGAAAACAAGGTACAGTATCAGTAACAAGAATTGCAGCATAAGCCAGAATTGCAGCTGTCAGGAACAGCCAGAATTTGCAGGTGGCCTATATAATCAACTAACAGAACTCAATTTTTGTCAATCCAAAAATGCGCATAGAAACTCTATTTTTGGCGCTGTTTTTATTGTTGGATTTATCACACAAAAAAATTTATTGAAATTGGCGGAGAGTATTTTTAGCAGCAATGAAGTGTGGCGAAATGATGGGGTTATGCTCGTAAAAAAATTGAATTGTTGAAACTCCGTTGAATCTATTTGAAGACGTCTCAAAACTTATGAACCAACCTTTGATCATCAATTTTGAAAGGGTTTGAATCCTCGAACAATTGTTCAAAACTAATTGCAATTTTTGCATGCTATGCGAGAATTATTATGGACTACTTTTTCCTCCAACAATATAAGTCTGTATCCTTCAAATGCAGTACTCCAAGATTCGAAGAACGCGCTAATTGCGGAAAATTTATGAGAAAAACGGGCAGATGATTTGATAAAACGCTTTATTCCCTTTTTTGGTCAGCTGACTCAGCTCACAATAATATAAATTATTATCGCATGTTACTATAGTTCCGACATTATAATTAAAATCGTGAATTATGAGATTTTGGGCGGCTGGTATTCACGGATTTCGTGTAAGATTAGCTCGATCGGGCAAAAATACCTTCCATGCATTTCTTTTCTAAATGAACGAATGAAAATGCATTCTTTCAAGGCAAAAATAAGGCCAGAATTACTTATCCTTTTTAAAGAACCAACATCCCCCGCACTAAATCTTGATTAGTTTGACCTGACCTCAGGCAACCGAACTTTTGTCAGATGCGTTCCGACATAAGTACAATTTTCGAGGACACAATTCGAGAGATTTCCACATTTATCATTGCAAATTCTCGCGTCATGATGAAAGATTCTGAAGTGAATTTCACTCGGCAAATTTCAACACGATGACGAAGGACCGAAATTGCATAAGATGCAATAAAACTGCCACATCATTCGATGTGAGATTTCGAAATTTGTACATGCAAATCGCATATCGGACTAAAATCCTTGCCTGATTTATTTTTGCAGTTGAGCGTACAGATTTTTTAAAGCAATATTTTTTTGCTAAAATATTCAAAAATTTTTATGCTGGTTTCAACCTTGAGTTATGTAAGTTGAAATTAGTGCCAATTTCCGGCAGGCTTCAATTATTTTTCGAAGTTGCATTTTATTCAGTACTTGCATCTTTTCATTTTTCGTGAATTGACCGAAAAGTTTTGCGAAGATAATTCAGAGAAAATTTGGGGAACCCTGTTTCGAAATCGAATAATTGGAATTTTGAAAGTTATACCTCGAGTGTTTTTGTCCGCTTGCCTGAGGGAATCTTGCAAAACAGTTTGAGCTTGCTTAATTTTCTGCAATTCCATCGCTTGAGTGTCGACGATTTGCAGCAAACTCTTCTTATCTCGATCAACCAAATCCAGTTGGCTCGAGAAATACTTTTTCTGGGTTTCCATCTCTTTTGCATGAACTCCTTCCAGGTCACGCGTCTTCAGGGTTTGCATCAGTCTCTGGTTTTTCAATTCCTGATCCGACTTCGCCTATATATAGGAAATAAAATTGAAAGCAAATAATTTCCGCGTGAGAAATCAGGATGAAATGCGTGGGGATTCGATGTTCTGGGGCCTGGGAAATTTGCACAGGTGAATAATTGGCCCACATCGTCATAATAACGTACCAGCTGGGAACGGAGCGACGCGAGCAGCGGCTCATAGAGATTACGAGCCTTGGCTTGCTCCTCGATTTCAATTTCATTCAGCTTTTCCTGAGCCGATTTCATTTGGGTTTCCAGCTGCTCTATGCGAATACCAGCATCGGCGGAACGAGAGTCCCAATGGGATTTCGAGCGTTTCAGCAGGTCAAGGTCGCGAGACTTTTTGGCGAGCCGATCAGCGAGTTGCAGTTTCTCCGCTTCTACGGCCTTGAAACTTTCTGCGGAGTTGGGAAAAAAAAAACGGATGATATTCACTGGTGCTTCGAATAAAGGATTTTAAATTTATTTCTGCTTCGGATTGCGAATCCTGCTTTGGGTCATAGACAGATTTAAAGGTAAATTGTCTTTAAAAAAAAAAAGTGCCAAATTTGTGGGACATTATTTACAGTACTGATGAAGCGTAAGCATAAGATCAGTTAAAACGGATAAAAAATCGTTTCGATATTCATACTGTATTTGTGTTGAGCATTGTTTCGCTTGTTTCATAATCAATTTCAAACTTTCATCTTATTCAAAAACCCATAATTACTGAGATGGTGTTGAAAAATAAGAGAATTCTATAAGGAAATTCTTAACGGATCCGGAAACGTCGGAACGGATTTGTCATTTTATGAGGATATACAGTACTAAAAAATCCTTGAGCAGTATTTTTTTCAATTTTGAATTTGAAAAAAACCGTTAACCGAGGCACAACAGTATACCGTAAAGACTGTAGGATAGAAAATTGAAGGTCACATGCAGTGATACAAGCGTCAATAAAACTTGTCCTGATAAAATAACGAAACAAAAATTCAATTGCCGCAATTTCTATGGAGAGTAAAATGTGTTTTTCTACAAAAATATTTGCTGGTTTTAAATTTATTACTTTATGCAAAAAACATTTTGAGCAGGTTTCTGCGATTTCAGATGCATTATGCATCTGATGTTGGATTAATGGGCAGCAGAGAATAACCAACTTTTCTGCATACAGATGGACTCTCTCTACAATGATCTTGTCTACAATGATATTACCGGTATAAAGAATTTTTTTGTGCGACCATATTGGGTTCTTTCCCCATGTAATATAGGTTCTCTGCAACGAAATTATCTCTTGAATGAATCTTATTTCTTGGTCCCTTGCATTTTTTTGTAGAGAAGCTGCATTAGTTTTCAAAGCTGTGAGAGATACAGTTTGAATTTTTTCCAGTTTGGAAATATTTCAGTAAAATCTGAGATATTTTACCAAATATATAGATAGAAAGAATTGTGGAGGCCTGTGGAACCTACCCAGCAAAGAATGGGGGCGTTGGGCTGGGGACCATTTTGACATTGGCATTGGCAATGCCGTTGCAGCACCATTGTCTCAATGGGGCTGATTGCTGCCAACGCCCTTTGCTTTATTGACCTTGAGTGAATGCAATGACAAGGCGTTGGCAATGGCATTCTCC